AATACGACATTTTATTTTATGCAGTGACAAACCATTTTGCTCCGTCAAGTGCCGAGCACGTCAGTATGATAAGGGATGATAAGGGGGTAAGAAAGGATAAAAAGGGAGCTCCAACTTATTTTAATTTACTTAACATTTTGTTTGCAATTTCTTTTTATTTCAAACATTTCACATGTTATATTGTCCATGTTCGAACTGAGATTGATAAAAAAAAAATGAATTTATTTATGAATTATTTCGCTACTTAAACTCATTTTTATCGGCTATAAATATTATTGTACCCCTAAACATGTCATGCTATGCCACAGAGGGAGTGAGTTTGTTGGGAGTTATTTGCTTATCATTAGTATGATTTTATTCGTCGAATATTTTAAAATTATTTTTAAGCTCTTAAATTTAGTTTTATGGTTAATTTTGAGTATTTTTAAATTTGTCTCAAATTTTAGAAAAAACTCACCGTTACCCTAATTTTTATCTTTTCTTTTATACGACTAGATTAAAAGAGATAAGGAGAGTGATGTCATTGGATTTGTATGGGGACAATGGAGGATTCAGTTGAGGGCAAACGTTGCCCAAGTGATTGTGAATAAGTGAATGGATTATCTATTATGACTTAGGAATATCTTGCGTGTATTAGACAAGTAACTAGAATTGGATATAATTTGTAAAAAAAAAAAAGCAAAAATATTACAAAAATCAGAACTTAGATTGAAATAACAAATGAGAGCGTCCTCAACACAATCATGAATTACTTAAAAATTGTGAATATAAGAAAAATAAAACGGTGTCCGGAATTGTCAACAATGCAAGTTGATATGAACTTATCAATTTATTATCTTGAAATTTTGTGTGAAATAATAAAAATAAATTATTTACGAGTGTTTAGATAACCGAACGAGCGCTTCGGGTCCCATTTTCTCTCTGTTTCTCTCCCCAGTGGATACGCGATGATATACATGCATGCTACCAGAAAACAAATCCTTTCACCTACGGTCTCGCGAAATTAATTACCGTAATTACCTTTTTCGGTTTTAACATTCTGACACAAGAACTGAATTATTTCTCCATTTCGGAGGGAGAAGAGAGGGGAAAATACTGTAATGGCGAAATCGAGCGCGGACGATGAGGAACTTCGGCGGGCATGCGAGGCGGCGATAGAAGGCACCAAGCAGAACGTCATAATGTCGATTAGAGTGGCCAAGAGTCATGGGATCTGGGGCAAAGGCGCCAAGTTGGGCCGCGGCCAAATGGCCAAGCCTCGTGTCCTTGCTATCTCTAGTATGCCTATTCAATCCTCTCTGTGTGTGCCTGTGCGCAATTGCATTTGTTTGAGATTAGTGAACAGAGGCATCTGATTCACAATTCGATCAAATGATCGTCCGCGCCTAGTTTAAATTCCAGAATTGATCTGAGAGAGTACTGATTTTATACTGCTGTTGATTGACTGGGCCTCTGATGGAACCAGCCAATCTTGAACTAAATTTTATAGCATAATAAAAATCCAGGAAATAATGTAGGTTAATCAACCTGATCGAGCAGGGATACAGCTTGATAAAGCTGAATAAGTTTAGCATATTGGAAGGAACAATTGTGGTTCCAAGCTAGGTTGGTCAATTTTAGGCTAGTCTAAAAAGGGATTATTTCTGATTTCTGACGTTAATTATTATTATTATTATTATTATTATTATTATTATTATTATTATTATTATTATTATTATTATTATTTGCTGCTTTATGTAATCTTTGTTTTAACTGAGTCCAGATAAGAACCAGGATAAGACGGTTGAGTACGTGATTTGAGTTTTAGTTATATGGAAGCCTGAATTGTATAATTGATTTATATGAGAAGCTTGGAAACAGAGATATCAGCATGTTTGTTCATTTGTTTTCCTTTTCACCGTTCTCCAAAATATGGTAATTCAGTGTTGAGCTTACCTTATTTATATCTCTAAGGGGTTTGAACAAGTACAGTATTTTACTACGGTTGTTATGATTTGCACTACTTATATGCTAAAGAAAAATGCAATTTTGTTCATGTCTTAGTTGCTTGCTCTTTTATCATTTTTGTTCCTGCTGCATTTTTGAATTGACAGTGATAGGATATAACCAAAGAAATTTGTTTAGATGTAATTTTTTTGGCTCTAAAGAAATGGAGGAATATTTTAATGCTTATATACTAGCTTTGTCTGCATAGTAGTCTTGGTGCGAACTATGTTGATTTTAAACACCTATTCCTGCAATTGGTGACAGAATAACTCAGTGTTCTCCCTCCAACTAAACCAGAACAGAAAAAGGAAAAAGACTGGTACTAGCCGAAAACAAATTGATTAAAGTTGGTTATCTTCTTCAAAATAATTTCTCTTAATCCTGGAAATTTGTGTCTGCCATCTCTTTGTTTGACCTGTCAAACACTTCAGGTTATAACATAAGTAACTATTATCCTGCTTTAACTTAAGATGTGCTCAATTTCCTTAACAAGAATGATGTGCTAGTGATTGCTTGTATTCAACTTGTATGGGGTACTTCTGCCAATAACTGCACTTGGTTTATGCAGCAAAGGCAAAAGCTCAACGGACTAAAGCTTTTCTTCGTGTCTTAAAATATTCCAATGGAGGAGTTCTTGAGGTAAGTATTGATCTCTATGTTTTAGTGCATTCTCCCTTGCTTTTGTTTAAGGACTTATCTATGAATCTTGAGATTGATGATAATTGAAATATGTCATCCACTTATGTACATGCATCATGATTCCTCACCAGAGGTGTTCCTATCAATCTATTAATTTGCACCATTTGCTGATAAGTGGATGATGTTACTAGGTTTGAGAAGATACTAACAGTTTTGGCAGAATATATGACCTTGCTAACTACATTCAATAGCCAATGTTTACTTTACTAAATTTTGGGCAAGGAGCACAGCATCCCCTTCACCCCCAAAACACAGGCATACATACCCACAGACATACTTAAAGTGGGAAAAAGGCAATACATAATAAGAAAACCTTAAAAGGAGTAACAGCAAATGGAATTGAAAAGTGTTGCATATTTTTTATCTTTTGACATCTTCTTCATTTTACTAAAATTGACAGCTGTGTATAATGCATTTTTTCCCTTGGATCAGTTTTCTAAAATTCTGCTATATCTGATATCAATTTTTTTATTGTTCAATAGCATGCAAAGTTATACAAGTTGAAGCATCTTTCAAAAGTGGAAGTCGTAACAAATGATCCTAGTGGATGTACTTTTATGCTGGTAATGCTTGCCCATAGCTCTGTTATATTCTAATGGTTCCTCTTAATATATGTTTTCTTAAGGATTGTACAGTTAGTAGGTTAATGTCCATGTTGGGAAATATAATTTCAGTCTGATTAACATTGATCCTATCATGAAGGGTTTCGATAACCTTAGAAGTCAGAGTGTTGCCCCACCTCAGTGGACGATGCGCAATGTTGATGACAGGTATAATAGGAATCCTGGTTCTGCACTTTCCAATCCTTATTTGAAAAAATGTTCACCAGTCCCTTCTTTTTGTATATGATGGTGTTCGTATTGTAGGAATCGTCTTCTTCTTTGCATCTTAAACATCTGCAAGGATGTGTTGGGTCATCTTCCCAAAATTGTTGGCATAGATGTGGTGGAGATGGCTCTCTGGGCTAAGGTGGATGCAAATATATTTCAGTCTGCTTCATACTTTTTGTGTAACTTTGTTATGTAGTTTACTAGATAACAGTTCTTTTTATATTTGACGTATGATGGTTTAGTTATTTAATTTTGATGGGCTGTAACCCTTAAAATTTATTTCTATTTCATTAGATATGTAAAATATGTTAACAGTGTAAGTGCTAAATAATTTGTCGATGGAAATAATACTGGTTAGTTTCTGTATCAGGTACTGTCCACAGTTGTTTCTCATTTCTATAATATTTGAACCTTCTAAGATCTAACGTAGTCATATGCTTATAATTAGAGCGAAGACAGGCAGAGGAAAATGATTTTATTTTTTGTTTTTTATTTTTTTCCCCATGAAATAGGAACTTTTATTCACATGGATGAATATTTATCAGTTGTATGTGTGTTATTGTTTCCCCAAGATCCTCAGTTTGTAACCAAAGTCCTCTCCATATTGAAGATCATCTGTTTTTATTGAAGTAAAAATAACTTGGAGTATGTTATAAATATATCTGTTGCAGGAAAATACACCAAATATGCCTAAGAAGCAGGTTGACCTTCAAGATGGACCTGTTAAGGATGCTATCGCAGAAGGTGACATGAAAGTGACTGTTGAAAGAGAACTCGTGTCTCAAGCAGAGGAAGAGGACATGGAAGCTCTTTTAGACACGTATGTACTTTAGTTTGGTATTGAAATAGCACAGTTCCTGCTGAAATTTGGTCTTATTATTTGTTCAAATAGGTTGTTCAATGTTATGAAAAGTTATTGTGATTTTTCTTTTCTAAGTCACAATTAAGATGTGTTATGAATGAGAAAGGATATTGTTGAAAGGTAATTTTTTTGGTTAGATAGAAGTTTCGGCATATAGGCTGTTAAAGTAAAAGTGGGGAGGGGCAAACAAAAATTGCGAACTTCTTGATTGCAGAAGTTTTGTGGAAAGTTCTTAAAGCTCTAGGATGTTAAGGGATTGTAGTAGATCTAAACCTGGAAGTTTGGCTGAATAGGTTAGGTTTGTTGAAATATGACTTGCTTGATGTTTGAGACTTTGGAAGGATCTGTATCCTTGAAAATGTGAAACCATCTAGCCTCAGTAAGATTCTCAGCATGAGAAGGTCCCCATAAATCAATATACACAAGCCACTAATGACATATCTTGTCCATGACAGATATTATTATGTGAAACTTCAATTGAATGTAAATCTTTACCAAATTTAAATCAATTATGAGCTAGTGAATAGTTCACGTGTTAGAAACTTCATATCTTTTCTTTATGCAATCCTAACTTCTTAGATTCCATAGATATGTTGAACGAATCTGCAGAGAATTGTTAGGGAGATGATCTATTACATCACATTCTTCTTTATCGACTAAGCTATGCTGATGTAAGCTAACTTTGTTGGGCCTAGCGCATTTTCACTATTTCTTTCATATCACTGTCAAACACTTGTTATATTCTTAACAATGAACATCTTGCAGTTATGTCATGGGCATCAGTGAGGCAGAGGCATTTTCTGAGCGATTGAAAAGAGAGCTTCAAGCTTTGGAAGCGGCAAATGTGCATGTAATTTTGGAGAACGAGCCTTTAGTTGATGAGGTAACTTTGGATCCTAAGCATTAACATCTAGGCTTTTACCCAATTTTACTTTTTGAGTACTTTTAACCACATTACTTGTGGTCCAGTAATTTTTTTTCCTTTAAATTGATAGTAGGTGTACATCACCCGTATTGTGTCTTGCTGTTCAATCATAGCTTGTCGATTTACCAGTGCTTACTCCATAGTATAACGCCTAATTTTGTTTTCTTCAATGAGCCTGGAAAGTTACCTATGAGAGTATTTCCCTGTTTCATTTATTTGTTTATGATTTTGGTATTGTGTTTGAAAGATCAAATTTGAGGATGTGTATGTTAGCTGAACCTTCAAAATTTGTTTGGTTAAAAAGCTAATTCATTTGCAATGTTCAAAAGATATTTTATATGAATAATACCTGTTTTATGGGCTATATTTTATATATTGACTAATTTTATTTTATTTTTTGTTTCCTGTGCACGGACCATTGAACTTTGTGTTTTATGAAGATTATGCCCCTGTTTGGTCAGCTAAGATTAAAGTTGAAAGTTAATTTTAAATATACATTCCATGAACTTTTATCAAAATTTACTAAAGATCTATGGTTCTATTTTTTTGCCTTTCAAGTTGACAGCAATGTGAGCCCTGAATGATTTTTTAGGGGTCGTGCAGGTACTACAGGGCCTTGAGATTGCCACAAATTGTGTTGAGGACATGGATGAATGGTTAGGCATTTTTAATGTAAAACTTCGACATATGAGGGAGGACATAGAGTCGGTATGCATTTCTGCACATTATGCTCTCATTTGAAAATGTGTGTGTGTGTGTATGTATATATATATATTTTTTATTTTTTTTTGGGTTTTTTGATTTCTCGTATATTTTTTTGCTGTCTTTTGATTGACATATGTTAGTTATGAAGCTATATGCTATAGAGTGTGTTTGTCTGGTTCCAATTTTTGCTTTGTTCAACAACAGGAGCAAAATAGAATTCAAATTTATTTGTTCGCTGAAATGTATTTGCTTGTATTGTCACGTGCTTTATCAAATATTTTGAAGAATTTCTTAAACAGAAGAATTTGATATGAATCAAATCAAATTAAGTGCTTTCCGTATGCTTCGAGAATGTTCTAACATATTCTTTGGTGATATGCAGATTGAAACCCGCAATAACAAGCTGGAAATGCATTCAGTAAACAACAAATCATTGGTTGATGAACTCGATAAGCTTCTAGAAAGATTGTACATCCCTTCCGAGGTGTTTTCTTGAACTTTTTTAATTCAGTAAATCCAAAGAAAATTTCTTTATTTTTTTAAGTGTTTTAACACTTGGAAGGTGTATTTTTCCATTTAAATTGCAGTATGCAGCATGTCTAACAGGAGGTTCATTCGATGAGTTACACATGCATCAGAATATTGATGCATGCGAGTGGCTAACTGAAGCTTTACAAAACCTTGAAGTGCCCAGCATCGAACGTTGCTACGCTTACATGCGATCTGTATGTATTCTACCCTACTCTCTGTTACTTTCTTGTTGAAATATGGCATGACATAAATATCTATTGGATTCTTTTTCCAGCGCTTGATTCATATATTTAGAAATTTGTTGATTTGGTTTTGATTAGTTTAGTAGGTCACTTGATTGACCATAGTACTCAAAATCGTACAATTGACTGCTTTTATTTTTTCCTTTCATATTTCCTGAAATGTTTTGGTTTCATGCCCTTCAGTCAAACTATCATGAAAACTGAAGTTTTCTCTCACGTGACTTCCTTTAGAATGAGATGACTTTGAAGAAAACATTGCTAGTGGACTGTGGAGAAATATTAGATTATTGGAAATATAAAGTTAGATAATTTAAGTTTTTGAATCTCTTTGCCTTTCATTGCAAAAATACATTTCCTTTTGCGATGGATAGTTAAGGACCCCTTTTTTCAATTCATCTTGTCTCATGATGACTTGAGTCGTATTATATTTTTATAACATTCTTACCTTTTTCTCATTAAATTTTAGACTTAAGACTTGTAGTTTGAGATTTGATCATAATTATAAAACTTTAACCGGATTGACTGATCTGACCAAAAAAGGGCATGGCCCATGAACCGGTTTGGTGAGGTAAGTGGACCAAAATGGAGAAGTCAAGAACCAATCAAAATCCACACGAAAATTTGGCAGCCTTACCGGTTGGGACAAAATTATTTTAGATCCACATTGGGATTGGTGGAGAGTACATTTTCCTGGAAGATGGTGTGGTAATGTAAATTGCTTCCACGGGTGGCTTTCTTATTATGGACGATTGTGAGGCGGCAAACATTAATGGTGGATAATTTTTGAAGAAAATGTTTTTATGTTACCTAGTGGTGTTATATGTGTAAGAGAGATGGAGAAACGATTGACCATTTGTTCATCCATTATGATGGTGTTTGGTGGCTATGGAATCCTATTCTTGCTTCCCAACATTTGACTTGGGTGTTGCCTAGGCATATAGGAGATGTGTTGAGTGCATGAAGAAGAAAACTTCGAGATAATGATAGTAGGCTTGTATAGAATCTTATTCCCGAATGTATTGTATGGTGTGTATGGAGAGAAAGGAACAACCACTGTTTTGAAGATCAAACAAGAATAACAGAGCAGTTTAGATAATTGTTTTATATGATTTTGTATGCTTGGTTTAATGTTGCGACCACCAATCATATAAAAGGGCTGCCTAACTCATGTCTTGTTTAAACTGATAATACACGTATTATCCTTTGATTAATAAAATTACCTGATTATAAAAAATTTTTTTCTAGAAAAAGGTTCCAAACTGCACCCTAAATATATATAAATAAATAATAATAATAAAGTAAAAATATTTCAATAGTATTTTAATTATTAAAAAGCCATTTTATAAAACTTATTAATGTGCATAAAGAAATAAATTTTAAGCGAGATAAATCTACTTTTTAATATATAAAAGTTTTTGGTTAATAATAGATAAAATCTTTGTATATGAACAAATGGAACAACATAAATTTTGTTGTAAGTTCTAAATAAAACAAAATTATAAAATTATATTTAAATATTATAGGAACAAAAAAAATTTACAATATCAATAATCTATATAGATAAAGATATAATTAGGGTTTACAAAATTATAAAAATATTATGGGAACAAAAATAATTTAAATATTGTACTTGTAAAATTTTCAAAGCAATAACCTAAAGAATCATGTTATTTGTACAAACTAAGTCGACAATTTTTGTTTACAAATTATGCGTTGACTGCATTTAGACCAATCATTTCAAAAATAGTTTTTGAAATAAATGGAAATCAATGACCAACACTTGATCTAATGACCAGATCATTAGTCCATCGGTTCAACCTGTGACCTAGTACCTAGGCCGAGTTGAGGTACAGGTCGGGTCTCATATGAATTTGATGGCAAACATCTTAAGATGAAGACAATCTCGTTGCTTAATAATGCCATAGAAATGTTCTTTTTTCACCCTCTCCCTCCTAATTGGAATTTATTCATCTAATAATTTAGCACTTCTTTACTTAAATGGAATTCATTCTTTTACATGTTAAATTGTTATTTTTCATGGTGCTTAAAATTTTGTACCAAAACACCATTTCATTCATGATTCGTTAAAGTTGGATTCTGTTTCTTGAATTGATTCCTAATTTGGTAGTAATGGTTTCAACTGATGCAAGAAATAGAAGTACACTTGCTGAAATATGGTAAGACATGCATTTGTGAGTGGGTAAAGTTCCAAAAAAAAAAAAGAAAAAAAAAAAGAAAAAAGAAAGAAAAAAAAAGGGAACTCTGCATTTTTATTAAAATCTGAAACTTGTGGAGTCTCTTACAGGGTTCATAGTTTGCCATTGTACATGCGAAACATTATATGATAATGTTAGGACAATTTCTTACAAGCAATGGCCCGTGAAAATCTCCAGGTTAAAGAGAAGTGGGCAGAACTTGACAGGTTGAAGAATACTTTTGCTAAAAGAGCATCTGAGTTCTTGAGAAACTATTTTGCTAGTCTGGTGGATTTCATGATAAGCGACAAGAGTTATTTCTCTCAGGTATTCAAGGATGCTTTAACTTTTTTTATAATCAGCTCTTACGGGAATTTTAAGTTTTTGCTGATCCCTTGGATTACCACAGCGTGGACAACTGAAGAGACCTGATCATGCTGATATGCGGTTCAAGTGCAGGACATATGCTCGTCTTTTGCAACACTTGAAAGTAAGATGGAAAAAGTAATTAGTACAATTATTGCTATTTGATTTCCTAACCTAATCTTTTTTTTTTTATGGTATCTGATATAATTTCCTTATTTTCTTCATATGCAGAACCTTGATAAGAATTACATGGATTCATTAAGGAAAGCCTACTGCAGCTCTCTCAATTTGCTTCTTCGTAAGGAGGTCAGGGGACTAATGATATTTCTCCAAGGGTTTTGCAGTTACTATTCTTCGTTATCTATTGCGTTTGCTGTAGATACATATGTTATCCTGGAGTTTTGGGATTTTATGTGGATTACATGGCCAATGTGTTTGGTAATGACTTAGAGGTGATTATCTGATGAAAGGATGTGATTTTCAAGGCTTCTGTGGGCCGCCTTGGATGCAGTTGAAGGGCTCTGAGAACAGTATCTTTTAGATAAATGGGGCTAACCTGATTGACAATGTTACTACAGGAAGGGGGCCTGCTATTACGAGAAGAAAGAATGATCATACTGGAACTCTAGAGAAGAAGAAGAAATGTGGATGGAGACTAGGGAAGGAAGGAAACAAAGATAGTAAGGAAATTGAGAACCCGTGCAAGGGAAAAAAACATTGCATAGGATTTTAAAAACCTAATAATTAGGCAACTCTCCATCTAACTAAGATTCAAGATTCCAAGTGAAACCAAAGGGTGTAGCTAACCTACTCCACGACCAACGTAGTAAATAGTAAACATAATTCTAGTGCTTTAACAACATAAAACAATGCATAAATTTCAGCCTAAACTTGGATAAATGTACTCTAAATTCATTGGCGCCTAAATACCAAATTTACCTTATTTTTTAGTGTATATTCCACATCAGCTGTATATTATTGCAATCATTTCTGGCAGAAGAAGATTACAGATATATGTAATGCACTTGAATATTATGAGGAAGTTATGTCTGATATTGCTTGACTCTGTGCTAATGTAAAGATCTGGTGATATCTAGCTTGGCATCACTAACAATCGTATTAACAGTTCACAATAATTTTTGATAATATGATTTTTAGTAACTAAATGCCTGCATATTTTATTTACATTGGTTCAAATCCTACTGTGTTATTTGAATGTGAATCGGTTCATGGAATTCTGCAAGTTAGTTTTAAGGTACCTTGATCAAATTTGAATGGTGTGGTTAGCAGAGGAGGATCCTAAAGGCTGTCTTATGTTTCTGGAATACAGGCACAAAATAGAGATCTCAGTTCACTGTATAGTATAAGTGGATATGATTGATGCCTTAACATGTAGTTCATTGTCTGCATATGATGATTTGTGTAAATCTTTTAATTTATATGGTTTCTCATAATATTTGATCTTTCCATTTGAGTTCCGTTTTATAATGATCACACTTTTACTTCCTTCAGAAATCAATTTCATGGCCGAAACGAACTCTAATGATTCTTTTGATGGTTTAAAATGTTGCTAGCTTGAAAACGTGGCTTTTAATCTGTTACAGGCTCGTGAATTTGCAAATGAGCTTCGTACTAGTACAAAAGCATCAAGGAATCCCATTTCTTGGCTTGAAGGTCCTATAGGTCCCAATCAGACAGTAAATAATGCAGACACATCCACAGTTGCTGAGGCATATGGCAAAATGCTTACGGTTTTTATTCCACTCCTTGTGGATGAGGTCGTAGTCAAGAGTTGTTAACTCCCTCCCTCCCTCCCTCCCTCCTGATGGGATCTTAAAAAGTTCTTTTCATGAACTGCAGAGTTCCTTCTTCGCACATTTCATGTGCTTTGAAGGCCTTGCCAATGGGAATAAAACTGAACATGATGATCATGATTTGGGCATCGAGGACATTGATGATAATATCTCAAAAGATGGTAAATTTTCAAGTTTTTTCAACTCTTGTTAGTCTTAGAAATTGCTCATTACACTTTTGCAATTTTCAGTTAAAAATCCTTCAGATCTGGAGGCACTGAACGAGTCACTTCATGATTTGCTTGATGGAATACAGGCATCGTCAATTTAAAATTTACAGTTATTATTTGCTATGATTAACATCATAATTTCTACCCTTTTGATGGCAAACATCCTCTTACCCTTTCATCCTGCCATTTTGACGTTTTAGGAAGATTTCTATGCTGTGGTGGACTGGGCATACAAGATTGATCCTCTTCGTTGCATATCGATGCACGGAATAACAGAGCGTTATATTTCTGGTCAGAAAGCTGATGCAGCAGGATATGTGCGTATATTACTTGATGATCTGGAAAACAGAATTTCTTTACAGTTCAGTCGAGTAAGTTAAATCTCTTTTATCTATAGTATACTTTTGTTATTTTGAGAAATTTAATCATCTACTTGAATTATATTCTATATTGCAGTTTGTAGATGAAGCTTGCCACCATATTGAAAGAAATGAGCGAAACTTAAGGCAAGCTGGAGTCTTGTCATTTATACCCAGGTAAAGTAGGTCTGAATATTCATGCTATTGAAGTAGACTTGTTATACTTCTCATGGTGTTGGTAATCTTCCATTGAGGTATTTGACTTATAATCTGCTGCACAGGAAGTCATTTTGACAGAAGAGGAGTATTGACTCTTTCAGTAAGCCACAGACTGTTTTCACTCTTGAGAATATCATATAAGGCTCCAACAGTCACATGTGCATATCTTTCGAAAACTGAAAGTTTCATTCTCATCTCAGTGTTGTAGTCCAGGATGTTAAAGCTGACTTTTACTGTTCGTTCACATGTTTTATTTGCTTTTCCATTTTTATTTTTTTTATTATTGATCAAAGTGACAATTGAAAAACACGGTTAATTTAGTGAAATGCATTTTATTTTGCTGGCATTTAAGATATCGGAGACTTGGGACTCAGGCGTCCTGAGAAGAATTATTTACTAGAAAGGTCACTTGCAATGTAGATTAGCCTAGATCAAGTTTTAGTGAAGTTGCATTCACCATGTTATTTCCCTTGACCTTGAATACCACTGTAATTGAGGCCAGTACTTTCCAAAAACTGGTAGTTCAAACAAATCATTCCTCTATAATTTCCAGCAGAATATTTTTGGCGTTTATTATTGTAATTAGGTAAAATTGTGCTTCAGGATGTCTTCTTACTACTGTAACAAATCTGAAAGACGGGAAACTCATAATTTTCCATGTTCATAGATTCTGTGATTTTTCAGTTTACAGCCTTACATTCTATTCTGCTTATTTTGGGCGCATAGCCTCTATAGAGTTCCAGAGTACAATTTTTATGTCATTATCAGCTGAACTTATGGCAAGCACGCCTATTTAACATGTACTGATGATTTTTAGAGCTGGAGCATGCGGATAAAAGCATAGATTTTTGAAACATTTCAAAAAAGTGGAACTTTTATACGGCAGTTTTAGATTATTTTGAGGGTCTGGTGGGGGTGGAGAGGGTTTTCAAAATTTTCTGTCTAGGGCCTATTCACTGGAGGAGGGCTGAACCATACTTCCGGGTGTCAATTGATTGTTATTAGTATAGTGTGTTTTGATAAGTTATTAATGGGAGCATTTGTTCCCATGTTTCCTAAAGATTGTCTTTACACACAGCAGTATGAAGAGCATTTCATGGTTATTTTTTCATTTCTTTATCTTTTTGAATCAATTATTGGGTTACATTACTTTTACATAGATTTGCCATTATTGCAACCCGTATGGAGCAGTACATCCAGGGACAGTCAAGGGATTTAGTCGATCAGGCCTATGCAAAACTTGTGAGTGCTCTCTCTCATGATCATTCTCTTGATGTGGCCTAGTGAACTGTAAATGATAATAAAGATTGTAACAAGGTAAAGTATATAAGTGATAAATTTATTTTAATCCTTTCAATATTATCATATATAGTCCTTGTTTGGTCATTATTTCTAAAATACATTTTTCTCTCTCTTATTTTCAATTACACATTTTTCAATAAAATAATATTTTGCCTAGACCTAAAACTTTTCCTTATTTTATAGCCAAACATTCTCCATCAAAAGAATATTTCAAAATGCATTTTGGGCAAAAAATGGGGCTCAAACAGTCTCATAGTCTGTTTTTTCTTTAGATTGACTCCTAGAAATTAATTGATGTTCTGTAGTTGCATCAAGACAAAAATGATTAGCTCTATTTTATTTCAGGCTATGTACTTAAATTGTTCTGTGATTGAATTTAAGTGGATTAACAAGTTAGCAAGATATTTTGGCTTTTTATTGAATGTTTGTTTTGACATTAAATGTGACTGCTCAGTGTACTCATCTAAATTGTTTATTATTGGACTACAAAAAGATTTAAGACATAGTTGATAGACAGTATTCAACAATAGAAATAAGATTCTAAATGTATTGACAATACAAACAAGATTTAAATTATTTTTTTAAGTAACACCCATGTAGGGTTGATTTGCTGATTTTGACTCTGAATGTTTTGATTTGTTTAATACGACTATTTCAAAGCATGAAAAATCATACGGAATAATTGTAATAAATCAAAAAAATATAATACTTCTATTATGTCTTATTATCTTGTTTTAAAATTTTATTTTTATTTATATTGCGCTCGCTAATTAAATAGATTCTGGCCCGTCCCCTGAAAATAAGACCATAGTTCCTAATTCTAACAGAAAGTAAACTAAGAAGGTAAGTTCTAAAACTGGTAAAAGGAAATATTAAAGAACACATTGATAAAATTATGTCTGCATGTAGTAGGAGTATTGTTGCATAAGCATCACCTAATTTTATTTCTCGTTTTTTAATGTTTACATGAATTGCAAATGTTAGCTATTTTTATAAACCTTAATGTGAAGTTAGAGTTTGTGAATATAGTAAACCGTACTAGTCACATTGATATTTCATATTGAAATATGAGGAAAAAATATACTAGGTGAAAACGATTTCTATAATGATAACACGTCAACATTTTCTTATTCATTTTAATATTGTATCTAATTTTTCTCTGAGATATGAATCTAAGTGCTCGGCCGAGATATAACTGGCTTCAAATTCATTAATATATTTCCTAATTTATTTAAATAATGAACGAGATCTCCATTCTATGTGCTCATTTTAACCTTCTAACAACTTGGCAATGCAAGTGCTAGTGTGTTACATTGAAGGATCACTTTGGTTTTCATGATAGACAATAAACGAAAGCAGCCCCTCATGGGGTGGCTGAATTGATAGAGTAGGTGAGCGCGGAGACCTTTGGTCACGAATTCGATTTTCCCTACCTACACTTTCTCGATCAAGCATGTCGCATAGGGCTTGTTTAGTGCAGTTTACATGGCCAGCGTGGTTTGTAGGCTATTGTATCAACCCGAGGGTTTACCTAGTGTGCACCCGAAGGGTAACAGCTGTGGGTTTCCCCGTCATCAAAATAAATAAATAAATGAAAGTAGATCGATGCCACTTTAATTTTTGTTAGTGTTTTGTTTTTTTATCATATTCTATTGTGCATTTAGTTATCCACTATTTTAGATAATTTTTTATTTTGTGTTCGAAATATTATGTCAGAACATTTCTTAAGAACCAAATAAAAATTTTGATCTTCTGTGGACATTTCAAAGCCCAGATTAGTTAAACCTTGAATAGAGATTTGAGTCATTAGACTGATATTAATTTTATGGATGTCTTTATGTAATTCAATCAGAGTTTTATTTCAAGTATCTTCAATGACTACTTATGAAAATTATAAGAAAAAAAGTAAACATGTACTCCTAGAAAAAGAATAATAGTCAATTTGTAAAATCGTGTTTAGTTGTTCATACTTTTACTAGTCCAAAGAGGTCAAGTTCTTCAACTTGCAGTAGTCATATTTAATGTATCTATCAGTTCATTGATTTCCTCTTCCCATGTAATGGACTAGGGTGAGATGTTTTAGAAGAATTGTTTCGCAGGTCACCATAATGTTTGTGACATTGGATAAAGTCGCTCAGGCAGATTCAAAGTATGAAGATATTGTGCTTTTAGAAAATTATGCAGCATTTCAGAATAGGTATTCTCCTGTTCAGAAGTACACATATTGCACTTTTTATGTGATATTTTTTACTTTATAATCCTAAAATTTCTTTCGAAGCAGCTCATATTATTTTTGATACATCATATTCACCAGTTGATTGAAAATGTGCAGTCTGTATGACCTGGCCAATGTTGTGCCCACTTTAGCGAAATTCTATCACCAAGCAAGTGAATCTTATGAACAAGCTTGCACGCGCTATGTCAGCACAATCATATACACCGTAAGTTTTTTTCACCTGACATATTTCATAGCTCTGTCTTCATTTGGTGATTGTTGTACTTTGTATATTGTGCTGTTGTACTTATATTTGAATTTCCTCTGATAGTTTGGTTGTAAGTTGACTTAATATATATGTGTTTTTGTGTTACATTCTTAAATGCAGCAATTTGAACGGCTTTTCCAGTTTGCTCGCAGAATTGAGGACTTAATGTACACGATCGCACCAGAAGAGGTTAGTCTGCAGATTGCATGTAACACCTTTGTCCTCCTAGAGTTTTGTTCTAACTATAAACAGGCTTTTGTACAATAAAGTAAGAAGAGTAAAGCCAAATGACCACATTTGTTGACCCAAAGGTTGACACACCTCTCACAGCCGAGGTGTGGGTCCCGCGCCAATAAAATAATGCCGACCTCCCCATGTGAGTGTGTTGTGTCAACCGATGTGTCAACAAATGTGGCTGTGTAGCATGACCCAAGTAAGAAATACAATCACTGGAAATATGCTCAAAGGCTGCAGGAATTTAGGATAATGAATTTTTTCCCTCTGTTATCTTTTCCATTGAGCATCTAACCTCATTATATGCACATTGATGATTTGATCTGAATAAGGAAAGAAACACTAAAAGGTAATTACAAGCATATCTAACCTAAATAGATAACTCATTCATTGCAACAAGGAACCAATTAATTCAGGGATTCTACCTTATTCAAAGTTCTCCATAGATACCATCTAGTTGGCTCAAAGATGTCTGGAAATTACATTTATGTACTGTGTAGAATGTGTCTAACAAATAACACATTATTTGTGTTTGAGCCACATTATTTTTGAAGAATGTATTTTGGAATAGTAAATTGATAGAGGATGTGTTGTTAAAAAATAAGAAATAATTTTATATTTATGTGTAATATTATTTTATTGAAGAATATGTGGTTAAAATGATGTCAAATCACTGTTAATAATATATTTTTTTCAAAATAATGGGGCTCAAATAGGATATATGAACTCTTTATTAGAGATAGAAAATATTACAAATATACATTTATAAATATATGCACATACCAAAATGCTTTTGGAAATCAAATGCTGTATATGTGTATATATATATATCCTCTGGTACTTCAAATACCATAATTTCGGAAGTGGTTTTAAATTAAACATGCGAAAACAACCTAAAAAGGGCTGCAAACTGTACATAACTCATAGCCACATAAATTATCATATTTCAAAACCCTACCAAATCTCAATAGCAGAAGAGCAAAATTAACATCATTCGTTTTAAACGAGCACAAAATAACCTTTCATTAGTTACCACTTACCATCTTTAGTTGTGAGAATTTCAGTTACCAAATGATTATGAGTCAAACATTAAACTGAAAAACAGAACTAGGTAGAGGTAATTAGTATATATTTCGTGAAGATGTGTCCTAAACAGAGCCCAAAATGCTTACATGTCGTAATTGATAATATTTTGTAGAATAATTTCCTTGTGTATCTTAGAAGTCACAAGTTATTTAGGATACAAAATATAAATGGAAACTAACTAAATTGCAGTAAGTAAATAATAAACTTCTAATAATACACACCAATACCCTTCTCAAATTGATGTTGGTGAGTCTACAAGCATCAATTTGCTGATGAGATAATTATGACAGTGGCGAGTTAGAGATTTGGTGAAGAAATCTGCGACTTGTTGAGAAGTGGAAACATGAGGAAGAGCGATGACCTTGGAATCATAGGCTTCCCGAATATAATGACAGTCCACTTCTATATGTTTGGTGCGTTCATAGTACACAGGATTGACCGAAATCTGAATAGCGCTATTTGTGTCACCATGAAGAGGCGTAGGCTGTGATTAAGAGATACCAAGTTCTGCAAGAAGACCACGCAACCACACGACCTCAGATCATGTAGCTGACATAGCTCGGTATTCAGCCTTAGTAAAGGACTTAGAAACACGGTCCTGTTTTTTACATTTCCAAGAAATGAGATCATCACCAAAAAAATACTCCATCTCCATCCAGTAGTAGAACGATGAAAATTAGGACAACTAGCCCAATCAGCATCACTATAAGCTGTGAGCTCAAGAGACAACCCCCGAGGGAAGAAGAGACCACAATGAGGAGTTCCAATAAAATAGCGAATAATGCGACAAACAGCTACCAAATGAAGATGACGAGGGGCGTCCATAAACTTGCTTACAGTATGAACTGCAAAGGAAATATCCAGACATGTGATAGTGAGATAGATGAGACTACCTACCAACTTTTGATAAAGAGTAGGATCTGGAAGAATATCTCATTCGTCTTTTCGATATTTAACATTAAGTTCCAGCGACGTACCAACCTAGGAGGCTTCAGATAGATTAGCCAACCCAAAGGAATGGAGATGAGAATATGTGGGATGATGACCAAAGAGCTTATAAAATGGACAAGCATTATTAAGAGTTGGAGAAGGTAATCGGTTTATGAAATGCACAACAGTAGACAATGAACGAGAGGGAACTTAAGACTCAATCAATAGGGCTCGAACCACATTATGAAGATGATAGTTCTTGCATTCTGTACCCCATTTTGTTGAGGGGTAAAAAGGCAAGATCACTAAGAAATAATATCTTTAGTTTGTAAGAATGATTAAAAAGCACTAGACATATATTCATCTCTTGAATTAGATCTTAAAACTTTGATCGATGAGGAAAATTGATTGTCAACAAGAGCAAGAAAGACTTGAAAAGCAAAGAAGACCTCACTCTTTGCACGAAGAAAATAAATCTATGTAAATTGACTATAATCATCGATAAAAGTAACAATATTTATAATGAGCATGAAATATCACAAGTACAATACTCCATACATTACTATGAATGATATCGAAAATATGTAAAGCATGAGAACCATAAGACGGGAGTGGTAAAACTTTACTTTTAGCAAATTTACATGAAGCACAATCAAGAGATAATCAAAGCAGCATTTTTATTACCAAGCAAACCCAAGTTTAACAAGTGTTTTAGCACATTCGAATTGGGATGACCAAATTTCTTTTGCCAATAAAAAAATATCTATAGTGGCAGAATTACAAACAAAAGAGGAAAATGGAACAGGCTTCGGTGAAATAGGAAATAGACGTCTCTCCTTAGGCCTCTTGACGTTCATCCTTCCAGACACCTGATCTTGCACATGACAACCATAAGAAGAAAAACTGACAGTACAATTATTATCAACGAGTTGCCGGACAAATAAAAAATTAGTTGATAAATTTGAAGAGACTAAAATATTAGACAAATTTGACGATATATCCCCTACGGTTGAGATAGGAAGGGTGTTACCATCGACAGTGAGTATATTAAAAGATCCATTATATAGCCTAAGGTTACTAAGTAATAGAGGATCGTGAGTCATATGGTTAGAAACACATGAGTCTAATGACCAAGAAGAAGAAAAAGAAGATGGTGGATTACTTGAGACACCCAAAGCAAACAAAGCAGAGATAACTATTTATTGAATCATATCAGGAGTTATGGGAGTTTGGGAAGAGTTGGGAGAACTTGGAACTTGAATGGGAACAGGTGATGGAGTAGAACTAGCGGCTAAAGTGGCAGTGGCAATATAATTTGTTCCAATCTTGGGTGGAGGACAAGTGGGGCATTCTTTAATAACACGGCTAGACTTCTTGCAATAATTGCGAACTTTTCTAAGACACCGAAGAGCCATGTGACCAAATCTCTTACAACTATAACACTGCACACATACTCTGAGGCTTGAATTTTCTTTATGCCACATAAGCAATAGAAACCGATACTACATGATTCTACTGTTGTTCTAAAGAAGTAAGAGTGATAAGACGCTTCTCCTCCCTCAGTAATTCACCCAAACAACCATCCAATGATGGAATAGATTTATGATTCATAAGGCTGAATCGGATGGATTCAAATTTAGTTCGTAATTTAATAAGAAATTGATCCCTCTTGGCGACTTCGTGCACAGCTTGGACAATCTCTAAACTGTTAGGTGAAACCAAAGCCTAGATAATGTTTGTGTACTCACTCCAAAGGTTAAAAAAAACCAGAATAATATTTTTCAATGGAGCGAGAATCTTGAGAGAAATTTGTCAGTTCAAACTCCAACGGAAGCTGTTGAGCTTTGTTGCTTTGAGTGTAGGTTTTTTTAAGTACTCCCACATAGAACGAGCCAACTTATAAGGCATGAGATTAAGACAATCTGAGCATCAACATATCCAATGATTCAGGTCATAATCTAAGAATCCTTGATTTTCCAAGCAAGATACTTTTTCTTGTCCTTTTGATCAGGTGGTGGAAGGCTTCCATTAATATATCCCCACAGATCGCCTTTCCCTTCAACTAATAATTGAAAATGAAATGTCCATGAAGAGTAGTTTTTACCAATAAAACGAATGCACGCGGAGTCTTTCTTAATTTACATGATGAAATCTTCGTGTAGGTTCACCAAAATTTAATTAATTACAATCCAAATAACAATTTTGCCAAATAAAATATCTCAAGCCCAACACTCAACAACCCAACCAACAATAGTTCAATTAGCAGCCCAAACAATTAACTCAACCCAACAATTACCAAACACTTCGACCCACGCAAATTATAAACGCCGATTGGAAGGAACAAAACGGGAGCCACAGAAGATGCCGACTTCACCGAACGAAGAACTGCCCACAGATGATGCCACCGACCACAGACGACGCGGTCGGAAACACGAAGGGTAAATGCAGACCACAGATGACACCGCCGGAAACACGAAGGCCGAACGCTGACTACGAGGAACAGACCTTTCTTTGCTTTATAGAAGTTACAAGTCACGAATAGAAAATATCAATGGAAACTAGCTATTATGTGCAAGGAAACTACCTAAATTGCAGTAAGTAAATAATAAACTTCTAATAATACATGCTAATAGTAATGTCCATTCAAGTTTTTTAACATCTATTAATAATAGTACGTAAATGTAATTTTCGAAAGGAAACTTTACAAACATGCTCAATATACAGAGTTACACTAGGTTCTCCGAAAATTGGACTATACATACTAGTATTTCATAAAAAGTAGTGTACTCCATTAAGTTTCTACAAGATAAATAGAAAAATATATGTACATTGTAATTACAAATCGCACTATGTATGTAACATATTGTAACATTTTGACCATAATGTGGAAAATTTAGATCTTCGATTTGATCTTTTGAACTTCAACGCAATATAAATATGTATCTATTTTATCTATAGTGTAATTCAGGTTCATTTCTTATTATAGAAATGTCAACACATAACATAAGCAAGATATCTCTCATCAATTTTGAAAATGTGAACTAGAGACGAGATTAAGTTTCTTTTTGTTAATTCACCAGTTCAAACATCATATTTATATTGAAGAAAAAGGTGCTTCAGAAATTTTTGTTCAAGATCTTAATTTTAAAATTATGGCATGTAAAGTGTGACATGATATTATTATCACAATGTGTTTCTTATTTCACTCTATATACAAGATGTTCAGTAATTTCTTTTTAATTTTTAATTTTTAATTTTTTTTTTTTGGTAATTTTTACACTATGAATAGTAGTATCTAAACAACACTGTATATGATCTGTAATCTCTCTCTCTCTCTCTCTCACTCTCACAGACACACACTGTGTGTTTAATTCTCATTTGTCAAATTATGGTACATGAAGTCTTAAAACACCCTTTATACATGGTATCTTCTGTAAAATTTCCCATTGAAATCTACTGCGAGAAAAATTTTTATATGTTATTTTCTCAAGATTTTTCTCAAGATTCCATGATTGAATATATTACCATAATTTAATTACTCTGGAGGATTTATTTAATAATAATCCTTCTGAAAAGTAGATTAGGAAAAAATGAACAATGATAGATCATTAGCAGCACCATGAACCCACTGTCAATATCAGCTTACTTTGTGGTCTCACAAGCGGTATGCATACGAGCTTAAGTCTTAAGTCGTCATTTCTGCATCATTGACACTTTTTTTTTGCAAATGTTTAACTAAAGTTATCCGTGATAGTGACATAAATTTTGAAACTTTCAGATCCCTTACCAGATGGGAGTCTCAAAAGTGGATCTGCAGAAGGTTGTAAAATCAAGCTTATCTGGGGTATGTCAATTTTTTACCTTCAGAAATTGGCGTCTTAATTGAGAGATATTTTATCAAAGCATATTTAACTTTATATGTTGATTACCTTCAGAATTTGGCATCTTAATTGAGAGATATTTTATCAAAGCATGTTTAAATTTATAGGTTGACAAGTCCATCAGTACAATGTATAAGAAATTGCAGAAGAATTTAGCCTCAGAGGAGCTGTTGCCTTCATTGTGGGAGAAATGCAAGGTATTTGCCTGTTAGAGGACGTACACCTTATTAAGGTTGCAAATTATCTGGCAATTATGGTTGTCAATTGACAATGTGCATGACTAAGCACCTTATTTCACTGATCATAAGTCATAACTATATGGTAGGAGGGTGAAACCTTGATGACACAAGGCCACTATCCTATGCTACTCAACATCTGAACTCAAAATCTGGCAAAATGTTTGATCTATGCAAAATGTTCGATATTATCAATTTATCATACGTACCAGAAGAGGTTAGATAATAAGTATAAATAAGAATGAAAATAAGGATAAAATGGGAATTGACAATGTCTACTTTTTTCAGGATCTACTTTTTTAGCTTTATGTACATGTTTTAGAGGAAAATAATGTTTGATTCTTTATATACTACGTGATAATGTTATCGTTATACAATTGAACAATGTGTTTTTTCTAGAGGTTTCGAAAATG